CCTACCACGTCGGTGCTAGAAACTGAACCCTGTTGCTCTGCAAGACTAACAAATGCTCTTAACCACCGAGCCATCTCTCCAGCCCAACTGTACCTTTAAAAAACCCTAAGGCCAGCTAAGTTACTCCTAATTTCCTTACCTCGTGAGTTTGAGGCCGCCAGAATCATGTAGTAAAAAAAAAAAATGCTGTTTCAAAAAGCTAGGGGTTTTCACTAATTTATTGAAACTTGACTCTGTGCTGTTCATTTTCTTCTTGAGACAGAGTATTCCTATATAGCCCAAGGTAGCCTTGAACTTGGAAGCCTCCTGAATCCTGGAATTATAGGCATGGACTACCATGCTTGGCTACAATCTGTGCCTTTTTTTTTTTTTCTTTGCCAAAACAGGGTTTCTCCGTAGCTTTGGAGCCTGTCCTGGAACTAGCTCTTGTATACCAGGATGGTCTCGAATTCAGAGATCTCCTTGCCTCTGCCTCCCCAGTGCTGGGATTAAAGTTATGCGCCACCACTGCCCACTTTGGGTCTTCTTTTTTTTTTTTAAATATTTATTTATTATGTATACAATATTCTGTCTGTGTGTATGTCTGCAGACCAGAAGAGGGCACCAGACCCCATTACAGATGGTTGTGAGCCACTATGTGGTTGCCGGGAATTGAACTCAGGACCTTTGGAAGAGCAGGCAATGCTCTTAACCACTGAGCCATCTCTCCAGCCCCTTTTAATTACAAGGGCAGAGAATAGTTTATCTTCTCCTCCCATGATGGGAGCCCAAATCCAGGCTTCTTCACACTAAGAAAGCACTCTCTAGCGGAATTATATCCCCAGTTCTCTGTCATTTTTAAAATTTGTGTTTCTAGATAATTGCCTCATCACTCAAATCTAAGCCTTGATTTCCATACTGTACAAATAAAACTGGCTGAATTGGTCGAAGTTTTGTAATTCGTCAAAGCCCCACATCCCTGCCTGACTCCCCTGACTCTCCCTTGGCTTCAGTTTTGATTGAGGCTGCAGAAGCAGGAGCAGTAGTGGTAGCTGTTGCCATTAAGGGCAGCAGCCACAAATGTAGCTGGATTAGCTAAGCAGGCCTCGACCTTATCAGCAAGTGGGGAGGTGTGTTCAGTTGCCACAGATGGTGGGAGGCACTGAAGGTAACAGCCAGATAACCAATCTGCACACAACACTGGAAGCAAGAATGCAGTTTCCTCTGTGATAGCAAGCACTTTGGGCTTGTAGATCCAATGAACACTGCAGGATGATCAGCCCAGAGGAGGCAGGGGGGCTGCTATGTTCAGTAGCATGGCTTTGATGCTTCTTACTTTGTCTCATCTATGTCTCATCTTTATTGGTTGCGCGTAATTCCAATGATGCCTGCAGATTTTAGTGGTAATTCCTAAAGTGTAGAAGCAGCTCTTCTCAGGCCCTAGCCTAGTGCTTTGGGTTGGCATAGTGGCTACACATGGGAGAGAGACAGTGTCGTGACTGGGCAGCATGTAGGTGCCTGGTACTCCAGGAGGGCCAGGAGAGTGAAATCCCCTGGAGTTACTGAAGATTGTGAGCACCATGCGGGTGCTGGGAATCAAATCCTGGTCCTCTGCTCACAACTGTTGATTGCTCTCTCCAGTTCTGCTATGGGTATTCTTGACTCTTGTTAGATCTGTATGGGGGTGTTTTCCTGCAGGATCTGAAAATTCAAGTTAGGAAATAGGGTTTCCAGAGTTAGTCCTACATCGTGGGGCACTAGTTTGGAGTGAACATGGGACTATTATTCCACAGATCCAAAATAAGCTCAGCCTGATACTATTAATGATGGAGTAAGTGAAGATAAGAGGGTTGTCACTTGGGGAACACTATTGCCTCTCAGAGAAGGTACTTAGGAAATTGTGGAAAAGCCTCCATCACTTCAAATTGAGGGATGTCTTAGGGGGTATAACTGGGTAGGAATGCTTCCGGGGTCAGGGCACCTTTGGTAGTGGGGGATGTTGGGAAGAGCCTGTTATATGAGGGAACCTCAGGACTGTTAGAAAAGACAACACCACCACCACCAAATCCAGCTGCCAAATTCTTTTCTGTTCTCCAACATAAAAGGGGAAAAGGCTTCTGCAAAAAGTCAACCCACGGGGCTGGAACTATTGTTCAGTGGATAAGAGCACTTGTTATTCTTGCAGAGGCCGGGGTTAGGTTCCTGGGACCGTCTGGTGAATCTTCTGGTGAGTTTTCTGTCCTCAGTGAGCACGGACACGGAGCACAGACATACATGCATGCATGCAAAAAGCTCAAAGGCACACACACCAACTTCCAGGCCTTCACACCATCATGGGCCACAGACATACATGCATGCAAAAAAGCTCAGAAACAAACACGCACACATACCCCAATCCAACTTTCAAGCCTTCACACCGCCATGGACTACAGAAACAGACAGGCAGGCAGACACACACACCAACCCAACTTCCAGGCCTTCACACCGCCTCCTTCAGACAGGAGGTAGTGAAGGATTTAGAATCCACTTCCTCCAGCCAGTTTCCATGGAGACCAACCCCAGTCTTTTCTTCCCTTCTGGTACCGGGAATGAAGGATAGTAGCCCAAACACAAAGAGATGGTGCCTGTACAGTACGGATGGTTGTTGGGCCCCTACCGCAGCTACAGAAACAGACCTAGACACAAAAACTAAGGTGAGACGCGGCACAAAGTCCTTCCTTCTGTTAACACTGGCTACTAGTGGCTTCGGGGGTTCTATCGGGCCGAAGGGAAGGCGCTATTCACGAGTGCCGGCACCCAGCAGCGAGGAGAGACTAGGCGACGTCCCGGGAGAGTTCTACGGAGAAGGGGAGCCGACCGGCCCACCCCTCCTGTGTTTGCGCAAGAGGGGGCGCACCTCGCTCAAGTGCTCAGTGGACCGCCGCCATCGCTCCCAGCCTGCTCCACTCAGTTGCCCTGAATGCCTGTCATTGGGTGACAGCGCGGTACCCCGCGGCTCGAGTCGGGAAGCCGATTGGACAAAAGCCCTGCCACTCGCCTTAAGTCAGCTCGGATTGGCTCACTCTACGTTGGCGCAACGGAAGAGGCGGCAGCCCGCGTGCGCTTGCGCTCAGCGGGCTGCGCGAAGCCGGCGAGGCGGCGCTGGGGGGCTGGCTCGGGCGGCAG